TTTCCTGTCTGGATTACCTCGAAGGGCTGACAATATGTTTGGGCACTTTGTCATGCAGGAAATGTGTTACATCTTTCTTTGGGACTCACACTTCTCCTTGCTAAACAAACAAACAAAAAACCCTATTGGGGCAGCAGCTTCTTCAGAGAAAGGTCAACATTTTCAAGATGGACTTCCAAGTTGGCAGGCCCAGTGTCACGGTCCAAGCCCGGCCTTGTTGATATGTGTGTCCATGGCATATACAAATGAGGTGGGGTTTGGATTGTGATGACACACCCACTGTCTTGCAGATTTTTATCCCCTCTGTGGATGCCCCTGAATTGGGGTGCTGATGCTATATAAAGCTATAATTCCTACAGGAGGCAATGGACAAAATATCTATTCATGACAAGGCAGGACATGTTGCACAGTCATCTGCTTCCAGCTGCTGAATTAAACCAATTGTTCTTACAGGTTTTTAAACCTCACGGTTGTGGATAAATCTTTAATGTAACTCACGATTTATGTTTATTGCTCAGAATCTAAAGTAGGCTTTGCAAAGGGAGGAATACATTCAAGAGAGACAGGAAGACCATCAGTCAGAAATGGTAATAGATTTCCTTCCCTCTGGCCATCAGTCCTGTCTTTTAGAAGGTCCGTCTTTTGGGGCACTCTTCCTGCTTTGGTTTCTACAGATATAGGCCTTGCAAGGAGGAAACAGGGAACCCAACAGAGAGGGAATGTAGAACAAAAGTAATCAAACTTATAGTTTCTGTTATAAAAGTTGCTGATTCAGTACCTAACATTGGCACGCAGATTTGAGAATGATTCCTGCCTGAAGCCTTGCAGGGCTAGTATCAAGCCAGTGGTCTGACTTGGTGTAAGATAGATGCATGTGGAGTATCTTTAGTAATATCTAGTCACATCAGTGGCTGTTCTCAATGATGGCTGGATAAGGCTCCACGTGCCACTAAATTGCCAGTCTTGAATTGAGAGGTAATACCCTTCATGCTCTGCTCTTTGGCAACCGTGGGTAACAGGTAGATAGGCACTGGGTCTATTCTTCTGCTGCTATAGGCCCACCCCATTGTTCCAGGATGCTGCTGCTATAGGCCCACCCCATTGTTCCAGAGAGATGTGTGGCATCTCTCTGCATTTGTCTACCACCACTGCTTTATGGAAGAATATTTACACAGCTCTTGAGATCACTGTTGCATCATCATTTCAAAGATGCGACAGGGAGCTACCCTGAAAGGAAAGAGTCACCTTACGTGAGATGGGTGGCTATATAAATATGACATATAAATAAAGGTAAACGTTTTGCTCTTCATACTGCACCAGTCTATAGTTGTCTTTGAATTGTTCATACATGCATGCATACACACACACACACACACACAGTTGCGCAGACACACACACACACACACACACAGAGTATATAATTTTTTATTGTAGATGTTAAGCATGGAAACATATCTCAAATTGCTTTTGCTCTTCGTACCAGAGGCTGAGTTTGCACAATCAATTTAACATGGTTTTTCTTTAAGTAATCCATGTTATGTGTTTGAACAATACTTTGAACCATAAACTATTTGAATAGATTGGATTTACACAATACTCTAAACCATTAACAACAACAACAACAACAAAAATCAGCCTAACTAGCTAAAACTAGCCAAATGTAGCATGCCATATGCTACTGGTCTATAACTGACTTGGTTAAGGATGTTGGGCAAACCAGTCTGTATCAGGGAACAGCTTAGCCATAGCCTAGAAGTAGCATGTCTGCTCACCATGCAGAAGTTCCCTAATCCAATCCTAGTCAAGACCAAGGGAGATATACTAAACCTTGGAAAAATCTGCCATTGTTGTGTAGACAACAGTTGACCTAGTTGGAACTCGCTAAGACTTCGTAAGACATCTTCTGCTGAAACAATATTCACAACTGTTGACCCTTTCCTTGACTTTACGCCACAGAGCCATTTATGAAGCCCAAATAAAAGGAAAACAAATCAATGCAAACATCTATGCAGTCCTGTAATTTCCCATCTTGCTCCTGAGCATCCAAGTAAGCTCACATGAGTGGCAAAATTACATCTTTATGATGCAGACTAAAAAACCAATCAACTCATAACCAATCTGTGTGAAGAACTGTGTAAAAATAAAAATAAAATATGTTACCACCACGGGTCACCATCCGAAATAGCCATCATTTTCTCCTAGTCCCCTGCAGAATGAAGTGGTTGTATGCTCTGTTATTGTTTGGGGGTTATTAAAGGAAAGTGGGCATAACTGACAGCACTGAAAAGTCTGCTGTGTTTGTAACTCCTCAACCCCCTTAAATTCAGCTCATGTCTCAAGGAAAAGAAAAAAGACCCAGTGCCTCCCCTGCTTATGGTGCCCATGAATGGAGTGGTGAAAGGGGGTGAGGAATAACATCTCCCCTTAAATATATTTGCGCTGAGGAACCATGCAGGGAACAGCCTGTTATTTCATCCACAGCAGATGGTGAGGTATATTTTCGGAACCATGAAAGATTATTATCAGACAATTATGTTTCCCCACCCCTACATCTTTAACTGAAAAGACAAGCACCACATTTTATATATCACCACCCGATATTGCAAAGAAAAGAGATAAAGCAGTGCATCTATTACAGTGAATATGCGGGTGACTGTCATGCATTGTTCTGGAAATGAAACAGGACTCCCGCAAGCTCGTTTTTATATTCTTCTGCAGAGTATTGAAGGGCATGCTTTCTCCATAACCCACTTTGGGTTCTGATGCCACGTTACTGTGTCTTAAAACTTTATTAACAACTATCAAATCAACGTATGTGTCCAATGTAGAACACACATTAAAAAGTTTGGCCTAATGTGATACAATGCCTGAAATCATACTAAACGCTGGTTTACTCATCCATCTGTTATTGAATGCAGCACAGTGGGCTGAGTTTGTACAGCACCTGAAACCATAAAGAATAGTTTGCAAGTGCCTGGAAGATGTGTGAACCCTGCCTAAAAAAAAAAAATTATAAAAAGCGATCTTAGTAAATTAAATAGTTACGACTTTCCTGGTTCCAGAGTTTTTTTTCAGTCTGTGCCAGAAATGACTACAATTTATCAACAAGGCTTTGACACACACACACATGCATACCTTTCCTAGATATTACAATATTCTGAATACTCCCAATTCCAATTAACTTCAAAGTCAAGTAAGAGCAACTTCCAGTCTGGATAACTAGTTATCCTCCTCCTTAAAAGAACAAGACCTTGTAATGCCTTCCACTGACAGAATGTGTTGCTCTCTTGTGAAAACCATATATCTTCCTTCCACAATTATTCATGAAGAGAAGAAGCGAAATAATAAAACTAAAACAACAAATAGAACCAGGATTGATTTTAAATACCAGAGGATCAGAAAGGATGGGTAAATAATTACTACCCTCCAGCTTCCTGATTATAGCTTTGATTTTTTTTTAATGTGATCAGCTTTGATGCATGAATTGCTAACAGACACAATAAGTTTGAAAGATAACAGAAAACGCCAAGATTGGAAATGCATTCCCTGTTAGTTGTTTCATGAGTATGGAGATGTGTATGCTTGGAAGAAGTATTTGCTCTCTTTTTTTCTCAATTGCTTTAAAAGGAAGGGAGGGGGGAAGAGGGTAGAAAAAATGCCTGAGCAGTTTTTTGCATTCATTGGTTTGTTAGTAACATACATGGTCCAGCCTATAAACAGCAGCTCAGGTCCACTTGGTGTACAAGACCAATGTCTTTCTTAACCCAGCTTGTTTCCAAATCAAGGTATCCATCAACCTTTGAAAATTAGCCCTAATGGTATTCCAATACTCAGATGCCTACCTCTGTTAAAAGGGCTGCCAAGAAAAGCCCAAGAGAAATGGCTGATGGTAAGGCAAGAAGAAATCCTCCTCCTCCTCATCTCAAAAACATTTCACAAATATTTAAACATCTCCTACATGGAATGGCCAGGAATGAAACTTGGTCCATTTCACACACACAAATGCTCCTTCACAGAACCACAGACAAACTGAATTGGAGCTAAATCTTATTGACTTGTAACAGGGACAGGCAATCTTCAGGGATTGACACTCAGCATTGTCTTTTTCCATGCGTTTGAGAGAGAGAGAGTGAGGGAGAGAGAGAGAAAAGCCATCGTTGGTAGGACAATTTGGCAAAATAAGTAGAGCTATGTCACGCACTTGGTTGATGGCAGGATTTTCTGTATTTTCCTGGATTTGCAGGAAGAGTTGAGGGGATCTTGGGTTTAAGCTTGCATGTGGAGTTCCGCTATGATGTTCATGTGTGTTCCAATGTAAAATAATGGGAACCCCTACTGCCTATGTTCTGGAAGTTGGGGTAACCCAAGGGCTACAAAAAACAGAGGTTGGGGCATGTAGCCTTTGGTAATTCACCCCTAATCTAGAAGAAGGTGGAGCTAAGAAAGGATTGGAGATTCTGAGCCAGGTGCCAATAGAACAGAGGAGAGTTAGATGCAGAACAGTGTAGTAAATACTTTTTTTATAGCAAGGGGCCTGTTTGTTTATTGGTGGACAACAGCAATGGGGACATCCCAGTAATGTAACTGAGGCAGGAGCAGAATTTTCAGCCTCCCCCCTTTTTTTTTTTACCATTGTAGGAAATCTGGATTTAAAACAGCTGTGATAGGCTTAACATGCTTATCTACTTCTTAGTTCCCAAATGATGAGAAATTACTCTGTGCTCTGGAGCCACAAAAAGAGTTCTAAGACCACATATGGCCTGCAGGATAACTATTCCTCATCTAGACACAGGACTGCTGTGTTTTTCAGAATGCCACAAAAGGAGAACATAAACTACTCTGTAAGCAGTAGCTGGACGCACTAAATGTCATATGCTTATTTGATCTTTATTTGCAGGTTTCTTGTCGTATTCCAGAGCTTTACATCTTTTTGAGTTGTGTATATGAGGTCTTCCTCCAGGCTAGGCTGTACCAGAGCAAGCTTCCCCACAAAGTCTTACCTTGCACAATGAGATGGACCCGGGATGTTTTGGGGTGATTATCTGTCTGTACGGAGCAAGTATAGGGTCCCTCGTCGTACACATCCACATCATTTATCCGGATGGCATAATGGGTTTTGGTGTTCGCAATTAGCTCCACTCGGGGGTCCAAACACCACTTGTCATTGCCAGCATAAAGAATACTGCTGCGGTTGAGCCAAGCTACCCGAGTCACTCGATTATCCACAATGCATCTGGAAAGAAAGAAAGAAAGAAAGAAAGAAAGAAAGAAAGAAAGAAAGAAAGAAAGAA